TAGGGCTGGGGTCTAGTTGTGATGTCTATGGACAGAATTACTTCTGACTTTCTGGGTTTCTTAGGGACTACATTGCCTTTTGCACTTGTACCAGTCTGAGTGTTGGTACCACTGGTAATTAATTAGCTGATCTCTACCCAGGGATGGTCACTCAAGTTTAGACAAGGTATTAGGTGGAGTTGACACACAAGGTTCAAGGTTCATTTGTTTTCATGGTAGGTCTTTTTTTTTTTTTTTTTTTTTTTTTTTGGTTTTTTGAGACAGAGTTTCTCTGTGGCTTTGGAGCCTGTCCTGGAACTAGCTCTTGTAGACCAGGCTGGCCTCGAACTCACAGAGATCCGCCTGCCTCTGCCTCCCGAGTGCTGGGATTAAAGGCATGCGCCACCAACGCCCGGCTCACGGTAGGTCTTAAGAATCAAGTTTCTCCGGGCAGTGGTGACACAGGCCTTTAATCCTAGGGAGGCAGAGGCAGGTGAATCTCTGTGAGTTCCAGGTAGATATCTGGTCTACAGAGTGAGTTACAGCTAGGGATACACAGAAAAACCACGAATAAGACTCTCTTGCTACTTTTTATGTTTTCTCATATCCCCCCCCCCCAGTGTTGGGGGTTAAACTCAGGACCTTCTAAATGGTAGGTATCTGCTCTATCACTGAGCCTCATGCCCAGCCCCTCACTTGCTTCTCTTTTTTGCCAAGGGCTTAGAAATCTAGGATGTGTCTTGCATTGTAGGAACTCCAGGGTGATGGGGATGTGGGGTGGGGAGCCAAGCTGAGAAATGGTACAAATCTTGTCTAACTCTGACTTTGTGTTGTAGGTGATGCCTAGGCATGGGACGTGCTCTTCCTCTGTCACACTGATCCTTTTCCTGTCCTTGTCCCTTGACAGGATTGTAAAGAGTTACATTTGAATGCTCAGCAGAAAGAATATTGAGTAAGTCACAGAGAATGGGAAAAGTGCAGTAGGAATGCTTGGGGCACCTGAGTACCAGTGGCCTTCAGTCTCCTCTTCAAGGGACTCCCCTAAAATAATTCATCTCTTAACCTCAAGCATTCTCCATCACTGGGTCCTGGTGTTTAACATGTGAACTGTGGAAGGTATATTGGTTTGGCCTCCTTTGGTCCTAGCCCATGCCTTACAGAGGTGAGGGAGCAAAGGGTGGTGAGGTACCTTCAGTCATGTGCAACCCATCGAATTGAGGGTGTTCAAAAAGAAGACAAAGGAGAGGTGAGGGATATTGTAGATGCAGGAATAAGTAGCTCAGCTGGCATAGTGGTGAACACTTGTGGTTTGTTTGGGTGTTTTTTGTTGTTTTGTTTTTTCCAATACAGTGTTTCTCCCTGGGGGTTGGTGGCACACACCTTTAATCCCAACACTTGGGAGGCAGAGACTAGAGATCTCTGTGACTTCTAGGCCAGCCTGGTCTATAGCGTGAGTTCTAGGACAGAGAAATCCTGTCTTGAACCCTCCCCCAAAAAACCACAAAATAGCAGAGTTTCTCTGTGTGTAGCCCTGGCTGTCCTGGAACTCAATCTGTAGACCAGGCTGGCCTTGAACTCACAGAGACCCCTTTGCCTCTGTCTCCCTGGTGTTGGGATTAAAAGTGTAGTTGTGAGCGACAATATGGGTGATGGGAACTGAACATAGATCCTCGGCAAGAGAAGCAAGCTCTCCTAACTGTTGAGCCATTTCCCCAGCTCCTAGTCATTATCATTACTGTTTTATCATTTTGTTATTGAGACAGAGTCTCACTATGTAGCTCTGTGTGGCCTAGAACACTCTATACTGACAAGGCTGGCCCTAAACAAACAGAAATCTTATCTCTGTCTTTAGAGTGCTGGGATTAAGGCATACACCACTGAGACAGGAGACAGAGGCAGGTGGATCCCTGAGTTTGAGGCCAGCCTGGCCCACAGAGTGAATTCCAGGTCAGCTAGAACTACACAACAATAACAAAACCAAAAAGACGCACACCACCATGTCTGTTTTTTAAAATTTTTAATTATGTGTGTATGTATGCATATCTGAGTGTGAGTAATGTACACAGGAGTGCATTTAACCCATAGAAGTCAGTGGCGTCAGATTCCCCTGGATTGGGAGTGAGAGGTACTTGTGAGTGGCCTGACGGGTATACTGGGAACTGAACCCAGATCATCTGCAAGACCAGTATATGCTCACAATTGCTGAGCCGTCTTTCTAGCCCTGGGCACGCACGTGTGTGTGTGTGTGTGTGTGTGTGTGTGTGTGTGTGTGCACTCACTCATTCACTATGCCTTGATGTGCAATTGGAGGAGGACAACTTTTGGGAGCCAGTTCACTTCTACCATGAGTTTCCTGGAGATCAAACTCAGGCTGTCAGATTTGGCAGCAAGCACTTTTACCCACTGAGCCACCTGGTTGACCCTCATGGGACTTCTCTGAACCATGTTGGTCCTCCACTGTGCCTTAGCATCTCTCTCCTGGAGGGGTACAACTCCTAAATAGTCATCAAAATTAAACAGAACTTTCCATGTAGACGCTTAAGACATTTGGTGGAATACACCGATATAGCACTGACATTTAAATATCTGGATTTTTTTATTTTCCCTCCTGCATGTGCCCCTGTTCCCCTCCAGCCCTCAGTGATTGTCAGTAAATTCCTAAAGGCTGGGGGGTGTGAGGGAAGTCTCCAAACTATACTACTGGTTTTCAAAACAGTCTCAGGGTTTTCCTTGCCACAGAGAAGTCTGAAAATAGAGACTGGCTTCTCTCCTAGCTCTGCTTTGAAAACAAGCAGCTGGTGGTTCTGTGAGTCACCGGTTGCCCCAGGGGACTGCCAACTCCCCCGACATCAGGTGCCCAGGGGCTCTTGGTAAATGTCAGATGCTACTGTGTGTGGTTGGTGACGCTGGCTGGCAGAGGAGTAGTGGAGCTCCCCTCTGCAGAGGGAATCTGGCTGCTGAAAGGGGAAATGGACCGTCCGATGTGCTCAGCTACAGAGCCCAAGGTGGAGGAGGAGTGTTGTGGTTCCTGTAGCTCCTCAAAATGAGAAAAGCAGGAAGGGAGTCAGTTCCCAAGAAGACCTTTGACAGACACTGATGAGCCTTAAAGAACCAATACACAGGGCAGGCTCAATGGCTCTGGGAGGGGGAAAGGCAAAACCAGACAATCTCAGCTGGATCCCTGAGACCCACAAAGTGGAAAGAGAGAATCAATTCCTGCAAGTTGTCCTCTGAGCCCCTTATGTGTTGTATGCCCCCATAAGTATATATAATAAATGAACTTTAAGAAGGGAACTTTAACTGTTTCATTTATGTCTTAAAATTCAAATTAGAGAGAAAATATTAGTAATTTAGAAGTAGGCATAAACTGGATGTGACCCTTATTAGGGCTAAACAGTGATCTCTTGATCCAAGTCATTTAGAAGACACAGTCCATGGGTTGGGGAACAAGAGCCAAGCCCTGAGTTTGATCCCTGGCCTTCATAAACTGGAAGTGGCAGAGCATAGTGTAATCTTCAGCACTTGGGAGGTCCAGGGAGGAGAATAAGGAGTTTGAGGTCACCTTCAGCTGTTTAGGAAGTTTGAAGTCATGAGACCTTTTCAGAACAAAAGACTGGGAGCCTGGGGGTGTAGCTCAGGGGTAGAGTCTGGCGTGACCCCCCAGCCACACCCACCCACACACACCCACCCCTCCATGGTGCTTGTTCTCTCCACTTTTGCCTTTTTTAAAATAGTATATGCTACATGTTAACATACCTGGTAAATACTATTTCCTTTTTCCAGTTCTCCCTCTAAAATGCTCACAAGAGTAGGAACTTTTTGGTTTTATTCACTACTGTATTCACATATCCTAAAACATGAAACATGCCTAGACCATAGCTGATGATAAATATTTCTCAACTAAATCAGGTTAGCAAAGACAAAAACAAAACAAAACAAAAACAAAAACAAAAAAACCAACAAACAAAAAAAGGAAGTACCTTGTCATGGTGGGAATAGGGCATTCATATGCCACAATTGTTCACTGGAGATGATTCATCAAAGTTAAAGGGGCATCTATCTTATGACAAAGCTATTCGACCACCACATGTTTACTCAATTTATGTTCACTGAAGTACAGGCTCAAGGGTGTGCACTGTGGTTCTACCTTAGTACCAAAGGTTGGCATTGGTCTACATGTGCACCGCCAGGATTCTGGTTAAACAACACACTGGCATTCTTAAGATTGTGTCACATGTCTGGCTTAGGAAGACAGAAAGGTCCACACACAGTGATGCGGTACAGTCTGAATGACACTGAGTGAAACAAGTCAGACACAAAGATGTGTGCATTGGAAAGATTGGAGGGAAGGAAGGGAGGGGGCAGTAATTATAATAAAAAAAATTGAAATGGTGTAAGCTTCTGTTTGGTCATGAAAAAGAAGGGTCGGTGGAGCGTGGTGGCGCACTCCTTTAATCCCAGCGCTTGGAAGCAGATGCAGGTGGATCTCTTGAGTTCAAGACCAGCCTGGTCTACAAAGAGTTCCAGGACAGCCATAGCTATTACACAGAAAAACCCTGTCTGGAAAAACCAAAACCATTCCAACAAAACAAAACAAAAAAAGGCGGGTTTGGGGGGGCTGGAGAGATGACTTAGTGATTAAGACGACCCGCATTGTGTTCCCAGTACCTACTTGGTAGCTCACAAAACATCACTATCATAAATATCACATAAAAATAATTCTAGAACTCAACAAGCGATTGCTTTTTTAAAAAATCCTGTATAAGGGCTGAAAACTTAAAAAACAAACAAACAAACAAACAAACAAACAAACAAAAACCCCAAAACTTTTAAAGCTTCGTTTTGTGGGAAACCTTTCACTTCCGCAGTGAAGCCAATTAAAAAGGCGGTTGGGTTCGTCCTCGTGCTCCAGACCCTGCGGGTGCCCAGCGGCCACCCCCCGCGGGTTCCGCGCTGCCGCTGGAGCGCGCTCGCTCCTTAGAGGGCAGCAGCGGGGCGTCGCGGGGACGCATGCGCTCCGGCGGCACCCGGGGAATTAAAAGAGAGAGGGAAAAGCTCCGGCAGAAACGCGCGGCTCGCGTCCCCCCGGCCGCGGCGTGATGCGCACGGCCTGGCCCGTGACGCCGCGGCCACCCCCCTTCCTGCGCCCCAGCTGCCATCGCGCTCCCGGCTCTGGGACCCCGGTGTCTGCCCTCGCTTTCCATGGGGCTGCGCCGCTGGCTACGGAGCGCCTGCTGCTGCTGCCGGTGCCCGTGCCTGGAGGAGCCCGCGCGGCCGGAGAAGGAACCGCTGGTCAGGTGCGTACCGGCGCGGGCTCGGGCCTCGCGGGGTGGGTACCCGGGTGTCCGCTGAACCGGGAAGGGGGTACTGTGAAGTCACACCGCGGCGCCATCCGAGCCCCTTGGCCTCATCACGACAAGTCTCCGCTGAGACGTTTTTAAGCTTCAGATCCTTGGGTCAGAGTTTTGTGGGGTTCGGAAAGCGCAGATCAGAACTAGCTGATGCCCCTGGGAAATGCCAGTGATTGGTGCAGGGACAGGGCTGGGTAGAAAAGTTTCCAGAGAGGGGGAGTCTCATCGGATGAAATGGACGAGTGTGGGGCTATCAATGTCATGACGAAGGAAGTCGAGTTCCTCGACTGGGCTTAAGGAAATCTTTCTCGTGACAACAACAGCGCTGTGTTGTACCGGGGGACAGCCTATTGACTGTCCATTGTAGGTTAAGCCGTGAAAAGTGAGGAGATTTAATGCTCATTAGCTATGTGCTAAAAGAAGGTTTGTAAGGGAACCCTATGCACAGATTTGCTTGATTTTTTTTTTTTTAAAGGATACTTTAGGGACAGGAGAAAAAGGTATTCAGGAGTAAGACAGATTCAAGTGTGGGGAGGGAGGGAGGGAGTGAGGGAAGGAGGGAGAGAGAGGAGGGGGGAGACTGATTTTTATTTTTTCTTAAAATGATTTTCCTGTCGTGAGTTTGCAGAAATCAAAGTTCCACCAAGTCGTGCCTCGGGGAACAGAATATTTAGAATAAAATTAGGGCACGGGATGTAGGTTGGAATTCCAGGCTTGGTGAACAAGCTCCGGAAGCCAGGCATCTTTAAGGAATATGCAACAAATACAATAATGCTTGCACAACTCTTTCTGAAGCATGACTTACCACTCCTTACTCCGTCAAGTCCAGACGCTTCCCCTGCCTCCGGAGGGTTACATAACTGCACCCTGCTTGTCTGTTGGTATTTTCCGGAGCAGTAAGCACCGTGTACTTGTCCCTGTAGGAACAATCCAGTCTTAGTCCCTCCAGGCTCGAGGCCAGTGGTGACCTTCTGCCTTCTACCCCTTCCTAAACGCTAGTTTTCAAGTCTCGTTTGATTGCCCTTTTCATCTTCCTCCTGTGATTTAGGCCTTGGAATTTATCATTATTTGGTGAGTACACAGGTATTTCCAGGTTTACATCTAGACACACAAGCAGGCATATATGTGTGTCTAGCTGTAAACAACACACAAATGCACACATGTAAGCCTGTAGACCTGGCTGACCTTTAACAGAGATTCACTTGCCTCCTGAGCGCTATGATTAAAGTCATGTTCTACCTCCATGGGCTTCCATACATGTTTGGCTGTTTTTGCTAATAGCCCTCTCACTTAGATTTTGAGATTACTCTTGGCAGGCAGAAACTGCCTACCCTTAATTTAAAAGGCAATAGGTAACAGTGTAGAATTTTATGTCAGGACTCCAGGCTCTTGGTTTTTATGAAACATACCTTCAATATAGTTTCAGCCATAGCTTTTGATGTTTCAGTTTTTTTTCTTTCTAGATTGCTAGACTTCTGGTAACTCTCTCTCTCTCTCTCTCTCTCTCTCTCTCCCTCTCCCTCTCCCTCTCTCTCTCTCTCCTCTCTCTCTCTCCTCCCTCCCTCCCTCCCTCCCTCCCCCCCCTCTCTCTCTTTCTCTCTCTCTCAGTGGAGATCCTCTCCTGTTTTGCTTTATGTCCAGTAGATGAAAGTCCATGAATTTTGTGATTATTATTATTATTCTTTTAGAAGATAAGGTTAGCTAGGCATGGTGGAACAGGCCTATAATCTCAGCATTTGGGAAGCAGAGGCAGGAGAATCAGGTGTTCAAAGCAGCCTTGGCTACAGAAGTTTATACACAAGGACCTGTCTACAAAGAAATATTTAGAAATTAGGAAGATATGCTGTGGAACAGCATAGCAACGTATTGATGAACCCAGCTACCTGGGATGAGTCACATAGGTGGGTGACTGGCCATGAGTTATTAGGATTATTTGTGCCACAGTTTCCTCATATCTTTGTTGAGGGTGATGATGATAGTACGCACTTCAAAGGGCTGCAGGGAAAAAGGAAAGGAGGTCACACATGCCAAGGGCTTAATATGGTGTCTGACAACATAGTATATACGCCATAACTTTTAATTACTGTTGATTTTCATTGTTATTCTTGTGAGCATGTGAGTGTGAGTGGACATGTCTCATCTGGTTAAGTGTTATTCTGGCACCATTTTGATATAACCATTTCAGAAGGGCAGCTTATTAATGGGCACGTGAGATAGCGATACACATGTGTCTACAGGTTCTTGAATGTTCTTTTCCACGCGAGTCATGGGACGCTCTGGTTCGAATTCATTGTTTTAGTTTTTTATTATTATTATTGCATATTTATGTGTGTGGTATGCATGGATGTGTGCATGCATGGTTTTGTGTGCATGGGCACACGTGTGTGCAGGTGTGTGTGCATGTAGAGGCCCTGGGTTGATTGGTGTCAGGTGTCTTCGTGGTTGCTTTCCACCCTATAAATTGAGGCAGGGTCTCTCACTTGAATCCAGAGATTGCTGTCTAGTCAGTTTGCTCAGGGATCCCTGATCTCTCATCTCTGTCTCCTGAGCTGGAATTCCAGGCTGATGACCATGCTCCCCTGGCATTTATGTGGGTGCTGGGGATCCAAATTCAGGTTTTGCATGAGAAGTACTTTACCTGGCGAACTCTCTCTCCAGCCCCTAGTTTATTTTTAAAAGATACACAAGTCATTGGTTTTTGGTGTATACACAAAACCATGCCACTATAACCACACACACACACACACACACACACACACACACGCACGCACGCACGCACGCAGGCACGCACGTACACACACACTTGTTGTTTTTCATTTCAAGGCAGGGTTTTTCTGTGTAACAGCCATGGCTGTCCTGGAATTGCTTTGTAGAACAGACTGGCCTTGAACTCACAGAGATTTGCCTACCTCTGCCTCTTGAGTTCTGGGATTAAAGGTGTGTGTCACCACTGCCCGGCCCCTCTACTATATTTTGTGTGTGTGTGTGTGTGTGTGTGTGTGCTGGCACGTTTGAGCCCTGGCTTGTGTGTGGAGGTCAGAGGACAGTTTGTGGGAGACGGTTGTTTTCTATCTCCATGTGAGTCATGGAGACTGGACTCAGGTCTTCAGGCTTGGCAGAAAGCATAGTTACCTGCTGAGCCATCTCCTCAGCCAGCTATTGTACTGTTTAATTCCAGTGTATTTTTAACTCCTCTCAAGAAAACAAAACCAGCATACTTAAGAGCAGTCACTCTTTTTGTTTTTCCCACCACTGGTTAGTGGTTACCCAGCAACCAGTCATCCATTATAGGTTTGCTTGTTTTGGGACACTTTGTGTAAGTGGGATCACAACGGACCTTTTTGCATGTGACTTTCTGAACTTAGCATGATGGTGTCACAGTTTATGGTGTTGGAGTGTGTATCAACACTTCATCCTTTTTACGGCTGAGTATTATTTCTTTGTGTGGCTTGATCATTTGTTTATTCACCTGTTGGTGCACATTTGGGTTATTTCTACTTTTTCCTTTTAGGAATGGTGTGCGAACATTTGTGTGTAGGTTTCTGTGGAGACATGGTTTCAGGTCCCTCAGTAAAGCTCTTGGAGTGGAATTGCTGGGTCATGTGGTAGGGGTGTGTTTAACGTCTGAGGACCTGCTGTTGTGTTTCTGAAGCTGGGCGAAGTAATGATGAGATGAAGTCACATGGACAGATGGTTCGCTTCATTATTGAGAATTTTAGTTTTTTATGTCATCTATTTATCTTTCCGCTTATAACAGTTTTTTTTAAAAATAGCCATCTTTGTTCCCTTAACTAGCTATGAGAATACTATCCATGTTTTATTTTAGTCCCATATCTGTAGTGCCTGGAAGAGGGACTGTCAGGGGAGGCTACACCGCCTTCTTTGTTAGGTTCGAATTCACAGCAAATGTTAGGATAACAAGGGGAATTGGCGGATTTCATGGCTGGCGAGGGTGACTGAGGCGGAGGGACAAACACGCCAGGCAGACAGAGCTCAGTGAGAAGTTTTATTAGAAAGGAGAGGGAAGGGGAAAGGAAAGAGAAAAGAGGTAAAGAGATACCACACAGAGAGGACAGAAGGGGGAGACAGGAATAGTCCTGTGGGCCCCAGGGGAACTGCTGGGAAAGAGAGAGGGCAAAGGTCATAAGTGGGGGGTCCTTTACACCTTCGTGCAGACTAGTAGTCCTGGAGCCCTGGGCTGACCAGAGTACTGCCTGAGTGCATTCTGCCAGGTGACAGGGGCAGGCCAGCCTGAATCCTTACACTATGTCTCTGGGGAGGAAAGCTACTCCTTCTCAGATGAGCCTGTGTTTTCTCTTCCCAACTTGTCCCATTCCTTTCCCCCTCTCTAGAAACATCCCAAGATCTCCCCTGACTAGCCATCCACCTTTATGATATCATGACCTTTAGTTGTCATTCTCTGATGTCCTCTGTATCCTACTCAGATGTGGTTAAAGAGCAGTTGTCTTCCTGACTACTGTTGTTGCGATTGATACCCAAATTTGGGTCACCCCTGGGATTATGCATTTTAGGAACTGTGCTGGGTGTTTTGGCTGTGGACAGAGTTTGTGATACATGCCTCTAACAGAGCTGGGAAGGTGCTCAGCAGGTAGAAATTTTGCGGTGCTATCATGAGAGCTGGGGTTTGGATTTCCGGGAATCCAGGTAAAAAGCTGGGTAGTTGCTTCAGCCTGTATGCAGTCCCAATGCTTGGAGGGTGGGACAGGGGATTCCCAGAGCAAGCTTGCTAGCAAGACTGCCTGAAACTGAGAGCTCTGGGGCACAAAAGACCTGCCTAGGCAGAGAAGATTGAGAACAATCAGGGAGATTCTTGACATCAAGCCTGGGCCTCCACATGTGTGTATGCACACACCATACATACATACATACATACATACATAAAGAAATAAAAGCTATGCTTAGATACAGTGGAAGGGCGGTTGCCA